GGAGGAGGAGGAGAATGAAGGGAGGAGGGAGAAGGAGGAGAGAAAAGAAGAAGAAGAATGAAGGGAAGAGGAGATGGAGGAGGAGGAGAGGAGGAGGAAGAGGAAGGAGATGAATGAAGGATGAAGGAGGAGAAGAAGAATGAAGTGAGGAGAGAAAAGGAGAAGAAAAATGAAGGGAGGTGGAGGATGGAGGAGGAGAAGAAGAGGAAGAGGAAGGAGAAGAATGAAGGGAGGAGGAGATGAAGGAGGAGGAGAAGAAGAGGAAGAAGAAGAATGAAGGCAGAAGTAGGTGAAAGATAAAGAATGGAGGAGGAGGAAGAAGGAAGAGGAAGAGAAGGAGGAGGAGAAGGAGATAGTAATAGTTGTTTGGTTACTCCTCCAAGAAGCTTCATCACGCAAGTGATGAAACTTCTTGGATGAGAAACCAAACCTTTTCTTCTTCCTTAAGGAATAAACAGTCCAGTTGCCTTTTTTGGGGAAAAAAAAGGACCTTTGAGAAATGCCAGCTTTGGGGTTGCAGAGACGGTGTTTCCCCAGGATTCAATTGCTGGCCACCGTGGGAAGGACACGTGGCGTGGCAACCGACGTTAAGTTGGCCCAAACCAGCAACAAATGGGATTGTCATTCTCCATTCAAGGGTTGCCTTTTCTCTCTCTCTCTCTCTCCTATCATTAAGTGGGCCTTAATGATAAAATAAATCGCTTTTGGCAACCCTCTAATGCTATCTTACCCCTCGAGGTTTTGAATTCGGGACCGTTGCTTCCTACCTCGGGGTTTTATCCCAAAACCTCCCTCCATCCACGTGGTTTGGGGGTGAATTTAGAATTAGACCCCGGGCAGAAAGAGGCGAGTCCCGTGATACAATCGGCTTTCTCTCCTGGATTACGGCTGCGCGACAACCAACTGTGCGTTGCTATTTAAAAAAAATAAATAACATCTCAGAGGTTTGCAGAAAGTACCTACTTACGTCGGCTTTAGAGAGGCCCGCGTTTTCGAATCAAAATATTGCAATAGCAACATGTGGGATTCTCAACCGCAATATTGCACTTGTAAATTTGATTTTTTTGTTTTGACTGAAACCAAGGATGGTAGGATACAGGAATCAGAGGTGGCTGTGCTTGCCAGCTGTTGCATGGATTCTACGTAGCTGCCTTTAAAAAAAAAAATGACTTTTGCTCTCCTGTGGGCTCAGGTGGTTGGTTGGTTGGTTGGTTTTAAAATTGGTTGCTACAGTTTAGGTAATCCTCGACTTACAACCACTGGTTGTTACTACGGCACCAGAGAGATGTGGCAGGCCTGGAAGCTAACATTCGATTTCCAGAATGTTGTTTGGTTTTTAAATGATGCTGTTGGGTTATGAAGTTTTTAGACCAGTGGTGGGATTCAAAAAAATTTTTACTACTGATTCTGTGAGCATGGCTTGGTGGGCGTGGCTTGGCGGGTGAGGGAGGGAGGGGAAGGAGACTGCAAAGTCCCCCTTCCCTCCCCACCCCACTAACCTGCTTTCCAGCTCCCTTCTCCTGTGCAGGGCAACCAAAGAAGACCCAGCCGATCAGCTGGGACTCACTGGGAGGCAGAGAAGAGATGGGGTTGGCGGGGCCAGTCAGAGGTGGGATTGGCTGGTTCTCCAAACTACTCAAAATTTCCACTACTGGTTCTCCAGAACTGGTCGGAACCGGCTGAAGACCACCTCTGACTATAAAACAGAGCAGGGATCTTTTCTGCATCAGAAGATATCTCCTCCTCCTCCTCCTCCTCCTCCTCCTCCTCCTCCTCCTCCTCCAATATAGTGCTGTCCGCTTAGTTGGTATTCCGAACTTGAAAACCCCATCCAAATACATTGTGCTCACTTTCAATTTGTTTTTATTATAATAATTGATCAGAAGCAAAAAATGAGAATACATTCCCTTTGACTCAATCTACAGAGTAGGCAGCCTAATTTGGATTGACATAACCATTATCCTGAGAAGTACTACAGGCCTTTCCATAGATCTTGTGGTATGATTAGTAGCCTTTCTGGATAGGAGTTCCTGGGTGGAGTAGCACTAACTTTCAACTGAAGTGAAGAGAAGAGGGAAGGCGGAGAAGGCTTCTCTCTGGGAATCGCTGTAGTAAGACCATAGTAGCAAGCGATGGCTATTGACTCTTCCACTGTAAACATTACTGCACCATGCATGGGTGGAAGATTTTTCCAAACACAAAAGAGTTCAAGTTTAGTGCCCCAGCCTATGCCCAGTGTTGTCAACTAAAGGTTTACACCTGAGTAAAGCTACAAAAGGTTCAATGGCATTCCAAGAAAGTTAGCTCTGAGGGAATCTTTGGTGCTCTCCAAGTTTGCTTGTTTTTCTGCAGACATTTCATGACCCAAGTAGGTAACATCATCAGTGCAACAAGGCAGTGGGGTTTTCGGATTCGTGGAGAAGAGAAGGAGGGCAAGAAGGACTGAGGATTGTGGGGTCCTTGGTGCTCTCTGAGCGTGGTTGTTTCCTTGCAGACGTTTCATGACCGAAGTAGGTAACATCATCAGTGCGAGAAGAGAAAGGGGTTTGTGGGATGGAAGAGAAGAGGAGGAGAAGGGAGAGGATTGTGGGGTCCTTGGTGCTCTCTGAGCTTGGTTGTTTCCTTGCAGACGTTTCGTGACCCAACTAGGTAACGCCATCCGTGCTAGTGGTTAGATTTTAAAAAGTGATCTTTCTTATGACTGTATGGAAATTAAACCCATTCTTCATTAGAACTGGAGTTGTGGCGCTTCCTGGCCTGACTTCTGGAGGCTTTATCTTGACAGAAGACATCAAATTCTAGGGATGTGGTGGGTCATATTGAAACACTTTCACCGTTTCGCTCCTTAATTCTCCCCTTAAACCCTTAAGTCGCTTGTCATTTTCTTCAACGTGGGTCTTCCTCTCATTTCCTTGAAGGGCCAGTTATTCGAGGCTTATGAAGAAGCAGGAAGTCAGAAGAAAAGAGCAAACATGGTAAGTTTATTTTTTAAATAATGTTTAATAAAAAAAAAAAAACCTTACACATTTATTTAATTGATTTATAGTCCCCAACCCGTCACATATAGCGGATTGCGGCCTGTTCGAAACCGAGCTGTGAGAGAAATGGGCAAGCGTGTGTGTGTGTATGTGTGTGTATATTACCTGTATACACACACAGACACACACACACACACATTTCCTCCTCCTCTTTTCCCTGCAACAACTGCAACCTGTGAGATGCCTTGGGCTGAGAGAGGATAAACTGTCCCAGGATCACCCAGTTGACTCTTGCGCCCTAAGAGAAAGGCTAGAACTCACAGCCAACTTGTTTGTCACCCAGAATTATAACCACTACACCAAACTGCTACTTCATCTGAAATACTAGAATAGAATGGAATGGAATGGAATGGAATGGAATGGAATGGAGTGGAGTGGACTGGAATAGAATAGAATAGAATAGAATAGAATAGAATAGAATAGAATAGAATAGAATAGAATAGAATAGATATTGGAAGGAATAGAAATAGCATAGACTAGACTAGACTAGACTAGACTAGAACAGAACAGAACAGAACAGAACAGAACAGATATTGGAAAAAATAGAAATAGAAATAGCATACATAGAATAGAATAGAATAGAATAGAATAGAATAGAATAGAATAGAATAGAATAGAATAGAATAGAATAGAATAGAATAGAATAGAATAACAGAGTTGGAAGGGACCCTGGAGGTCTTCTAGGCCAACCCCCTGCCTAGGCGGGAAACCCTACATCACTTCAGACAAAGGGTTATCCAACATCTTTTTAAAAACCTCCAGTGTTGGAGCATTTACAAACTTCTGGAATCTACTTGTTCCACTGATGAATTGTTCTGACTGTCAGGAAATTCCTCCTTAGTTCTAAGTTGCTTCTCTCCTTGATGAGTTTCCATCCGTCGCTTCTTGTCCTGCCTTCGGGTGCTTTGGAGAATAGCTTGACTCCCTCTTCTTTGGGGCAGCCCCTGAGATACTAGAAGATGCTAGTCTTTCTCTTCATTAGACTAGACATGCCCAGTTCCTGCAACCGCTCTTCATATGTTTTAGCCTCCAGTCTAATTAGCCTCTAATTGATAATTTCTGCATTTTACACGATACCGGCATTTCGTGGCGCATGGTTTCTAACTTTGAGACTCCGGGATTAAACCCTGAAAAACCAGAATAGCAAAAAAGCCATAGACTGAACATATTAAACAAAAATACTCCGGGAATCCCCATTTTCTATGCATGCAAAAAAAAAAAAAAAAAAAAAACCCTGTATAATCTATTCTCAGCTCTTTTCTAGAGGTAGCTGCTTATTTATCAGCCTCTGGGCATGAGAATGCAGAATTTTCAGCAACACGGAAACTGTTTTAATTCCCTTCAGTTTGTTTCATACCTCTCAGTGACTCATATTTCTCTGCTGGGGGATCCAGGCTGTAGGCGGCTGGGTTTAATAAGCAGTATGATCCTTTCTTTCTTCTCCGGCTGGCCTTTGCTCATAACTTTCCGCTCAGCTTTGGGGTAGTCCGGCTCGCCCAGGAACAGATTACAAGCCTTTGCAATCAGAAGGGTTTAGCTAAAGCAAAAACAACAACAACAACAACCAAACAAACCTGAAGCGCCCCCGAATAAATACGGATTAAAAAGTCCGAGGGAAGCTGGATTTGCATTCACGGCGGCAGGAGGAGGAGGAGGAGCAGCGCACGCTGTCCCTCAAAATGTATGTAGCACTTCGTGGCGAAACACCCAACTGATGAAAACATTCTCTGCCATTTGACCATCTGCTTGGAGGCTTCCAGGCTCAGTAGTCGTTCCTCAGCGGAGAATTAGAATCAGAGGCTAATTAAAGGAGAGACGGTGGTGTTTGAGAACCACGTAATCTGAAAAGACGAGAGCTTACGGGACATCTGGAGGAGGGCTTCTAGGTCTATTAGAGGTTATTTCAGAACAGATCTAAGGTGGTTCTCCATCTTCTGGTCGATGACGGGCAGTTGGCTCAGTCTCACTTCTCCTGATCTGCTTCAGGTACCTGGCAGGATTGTTCACCAGGCTGTGAGAGTCCTTGATGGTAAGATTGTAAGGTCAAGTTTCATTCTGGAGTTAGCTTCTTCAGGAAGCATTCCAGAAAAATTCCACTCCAACCAGTAACTCCGAGACAGGCAAGTTCTCTTTTAATTGGATAGTAAACTGGCACAACGGGGAAATCCCGAATCTGAACGTTCCACGCTTCCTTTTGTAATAAGTAAAAACTACAAATCCATCCCTTGGACCCATCATCACATCACATGCCCCAATCACTATCCGTCTCAACTTGAGACTTCCCCTCACTTAGGTGCAAAATAACATGACCTTGAATTCGAAAAAGAAGATTGTTATGTCTGACAATATACTCTCCAAGAAGTTCCCCCCTCCCATTTTCCCAGGCTCAAAATGTGGCAATGTGGAAGCTTCTGGTGCTAATGTGGCTTCCAAAGGTGACAATTTCTATTTAGGAAACTGGACATTTGCCTGTTGATTATTCAGGGGGTCAAAGGGGATAACAAGCAAAGAACGGGGGGTCAGCAACATATAATCAAGTTCCACCAGACCCTGATAATCTGCTCCCTCTTTCTGGAGGTCTGTGCAGCTTCTCAATCATTCAGGTCTTGGTTGTCTCAAAGATGCTTTTTTTGAGAGTCAACTGGACTTTTTGATTTTTCTTTGAAGGCGTTTCGCTTCTCATCCAAGAAGCTTCTTCCAAACTTCTTCAAGGTCTATGGCGCTTCTCAGTCATCCACTCATGGTTGTCCCAAAGGTGCTTTTTTTTGAGAGTCAACTGGACTTTCTGTTTTTTCTTCGAAGACATTTGGCTCCTCATCCAAGAAGCTTCTTCAGCTCTCTTGGATGAGAAGCGAAACGTCTTCAAAAAAACCCCAGAAAGTCCAGTGGACTCTCGAAAAAAACACCTTTGGGACCTCTCTCTAGAGGTGTTCAAGAAAAGATTGGGCCACCATTTGTCCTGGATGGAATAAGGACAACTGCTTTGGGCAGGGGGTTGGACTAGAAGACCTCCAAGGTCCCTTCTAGCCTTATGATTCTATTTACTCTGACAGCATTTGATTTTCCAAGATCTCAAACGTTTTTTTTGCACTAGTGAGTTTGACCATGACTACACTTGCTAAAGACGTCGTTCTCCATTGAGATATGTTGAGCAGTACCCACATTTGCAGTGTTACCACAGTTACAAAAATGAAATTTACACTGACCACGTGAACATTGTCGTCTGATTGCGCCAGAGACACCACAGTTGCCTTTCAAACATCATCAGGCCGGTCCTATTTCATGTAAAACCACGTCTGCAGTAAAAAAAACAACGTACATCTGAGAAGCAACCTGTCAATTTTGAAAAAAAAAATGAAATTCTGGGCTCATAAGATTGCCGGTTGTCCTACTCTCCGAGCTCCTTGGGCAGCACGGTTTGAGGTCCCTTTCTTTCTTTCTTTCTTTTTTTTTCTTTTTGCTCTAACTGTGTAGTACATAATTTCAGGAATAAGTGATCTGCCAGATGGACTCCTCTGGGTTGTAACTATTTCTTCTATTATTGGTCTTTTTGCGAAAGGGAGCCTGCCAACTGTGTCAAGCTGCGCAGAGGGCATTCGTTCTTGAAGCCGAAATGGCTTTCAGGTCTGTTACTGAAATAGATTTCAATTGAAATATGAAGATGGCTGCAATAATGGCATTTGACAACTCAGGTGGCTGGAAGACTATGTCTGTCTGTCCATCTGCCTGCCTACACACCCACCTACCTACTAGAATTAATATTATCATTATACATTTCTTCCTTCCCTCCCTTCTTTCCCTCTTCCCTTCCCTTAGCTCTGCCTTCTTTCCTTCCTTCCTTCCTTCCTTCCTTTTTCCCTCCCTCCTCTCTCCCTTCTTTCCTTCCCTAAGCTCTGGTTCCTTCTTTCTTTTCCCTCCTTCCTCCCTTTTCTGCTCCCTTCCTTCTTTCCTTAGCCCTGGTTCCTTCTTTCTTTTCCCTCCTTCCTCCCTTTCCCCCTCCCTCCCTTCTTTCCTTTCCTTAGCCCTGCTTCCTTCTTTCATTTCCC